AAGTAGTTTTTCTGGAATTCAGTTTAAGCATGGTTTCTTTTGTAAGGAGCCTTGAGTGGATGTTTTTGGGTGTTTGGGGGGTGTTAGAAGTTGTATAATATCAAAGACGTGCTGTTGTGATTGCACTGCTTATATCTTAGCTTCGTGACTGCCACTTCTCCCTGCAGATGACATTTGGGCTCCAGGCTCCTCAGCACCAGGATACTTCGGGTTTGCTTCCCCCTCTGCTTGCACTGGTTGCACATTTGAGCCTCCTCTGGCTGGATGTTTTTAACAATTAAAGTTCTGACAATTTTTCTGTGATGCTCCCCTAGTTGCTTGCTGGCAGTCTCAAGTAGGTGTCTTCATACTAACTGGAATAGTTCAGCTTGGATGCAAAAGTAACTGTTTTTTTTTTTTTCCCAATAGAGGAGAACATCTCTCGTATGGAACATCTCTCGTATGAAGAGAGGCTGAGTGAGCTGGGCCTGTTTTCTCTGGAGAAGAGACGGCTCAGAGGGGATATGATTAATATGTATAAGTTCAGGAAGGGAGAATGCAGGGAGGAAGGGGACAGGCTGTTCTCACTGGTGGCCAGCGATAGGACGAGGGGTAATGGCCACAAGCTGAAGCATAAGAAGTTCCGTCTCCAGGTGAGGAGCAACTTCTTTACTGTGAGGGTGACAGAGCAGTGGAACAGGCTGCCCAGGGAGGTTGTGGAGTCTCCTACTCTGGAGGTCTTCAAAACCCGCCTGGATGCCACCCTGTGCCACATGCTCTAGGTGTGCCTGCTTGAGCAGGAAGGTTGGACTAGATGATCTGTAGAGGTCCCTTCCAACCTTAAATATTCTGTGAATCTGTGAATCTGTGTGAGAAGAATAAATGGAGAAACCGAATGGCTAACTTTTATTCATTGTAAATGCTACTGAAGTTTCCTGCATTCTTTACAGTACTTTTCTTCACTTTGCACAGTTTAAATTCAGAGTCTCTGGTAGTTTTCATAGTGGAAACTCAGCACAGTGATTTGGCGAAAAAAAGAAGAAAATAATTCTTTTTATATAAGCTTTGTATCAGAAAACAAAGTCAGCTCAGTGCCGAAGCATGAGTAATCTGTTTCTCAGAAGTATCTGTTTTTGGAGGTTACCCGTATGAACAAATGCAATTGATTGTCTGGACACTATAGATTTTTAATAATGGTGAAAATGTTTGTGGGGGAAATTCTTCCTTCGAGGTGTTTTTCTGCTAAGGAATTCATGGTTTCACTTTGCTGGAATATGGCTCTTGTAGCCTCTTGTGAAATGGATGAATGTGAGAAAGTGCACTCAAACAAGCGCATTTGCTGACCTGCCCAAATTGGATCCTTAAGAAAAGGATGCCTGTTTACAGAACCACAGAATGGTTAAGGTGGGAAGGGACCTCTGGAGATCATCTAGTGCAACCCCTCTGCTGAAGCAGGGACACCCAGAGCACGTTTACTGACAGGCAAAGTAGAAGCTTCCATCTAGAATTATGCTCCTCCTTTACGCAGTAAAAAATGTACAAACTCTGCAAACTAGTATTAAATCTACATAGGAAATAGGTAGAACAAATTCACCAGAGTTTTGATAATTTTTAAAAAATGATGTGAAGCACTACTCTGTCTCATACAGTAGCAGACAAGTCTGGGAAATGGAAAGCAAATATTAGGTGCAGAAGCTGGTGTTATTCTATTTTGTTTTTAAATGCAACATGTCTATTTTTGTGATGATTTTATCACCTGCCTCTTGAATACAGTAAGTCTCAAAGGACTAATATTTCCTCCTACAGTGCTGATGTAAGAATGAGCTATATTTGATGATCAACAATAGTATACTCTAGAAAGTCTCTTAAGCCAGAAATGCTTGGAGGAAATGGATCTTGTAACAGTCGCAAATCAATACATTTTTTCATATCAAAGAAACTTATATATTTGCATTAAAGACACCACTAGACAGCTTTTGTTTAGTTTGCTTGCTTACAACTTGCAGAGATCATGTCTGTATTTTTATACCAGTCATTATGAAGCTTTGAAATCTATCCAAAACAGGCAGTTGCAATATTAACTGGGAAAAAATCAAATAATTGCAACATTCATATTTGTATGTTGAAAGTAGATGTGGTCTGGAGAATACCTCCTGCGTGATTGCTTTAAGCAGGAAGAACAAGAAAGCAGTAAGCCAAAATCCTGTGTATTTCTAATTTGGAGCATGGTGATGTAGTTAGTGAGTAGAAATGCAACAAATGAAAATGAAATGGTATAATGAACAAGTACAAGCTATACATTCAGTTTCAAAGGTTTTCATAAAGACAATTTGACCAAGTCTGGGTATATTTGCAGCAGTGTGCAAGGCAATTTGAAGAAGGAGAGAGAGTTGAGTTCCTCAACAATTTAGCAGTAGTCTCTTGTCACTCCAACAGCAAGAATAAATCACATTAGCTAAAATTTAAGGACTACCACAACAAATTTTTGAAACCAAATGCTGCAGTATGAAACTGGTCATTAGATGCATATTTTGAGAACTGGGCAACTTGGCATGGGATATGCGACAACCAGGTACATAGAGCAACTGGATGAACTGGATGAACTGACCAAGAAGGGATGCTGAGCACAGAGATGCAGTTTTTGAAATTGCTTCTTAGAACTGAAGGTCACATTATATGCTACGAGGAGGATAGGAGGCATTTTGCTTTGCAACACAGTGGTTAAGTGTCTCTTAACTGTGTTCCATTCCCTATTTTTGCCAATATTATGGGTCAACATTCCACAAAAAGGCCATGGAGTCCAGCGCTACAGTTATTCTCAAATTATTGCTTATAAGAAAGTTGAGACTTCTGAAGTTTAAAATAAAGTGAAGGGAAGACAGCACACACAGCTATTTGCACTGCAAAAGGAAAATGCTTCAGGGGTGGAATTTGCAGATTTTAAGTGTTTTAAGCCCTACCAATGTCCCAATTTCAGTACTAATGATGTCAACGCAAATGTTTGAGATAGCACTGTAATTCCCAGGATGTAAATAGTGGCATTAAGGAATAGGATTCATAAAGCACTGGGAAATTGCTTTGCATATGTTCAGTGAAGTAGTTTATAACAGCAGCATTACTTTAGGAATTGTGTGCTTTATACTGGACGTGGAGAAATGCCTAATATGTAAGAGGTCTATAATAGCTGAGGTTTGAAAATTCCATGTATGCTCTTTTGGATCTTGTCATGAATACTATGTATTTAGTATTCTGTCATAGAAATGTTAGAATGTGAACAGTATTGAATTCATAGTATTGTCAGTCTGGATTCTGTAAGTGGATTGGATTAAAAATTGGTAGATTTGTCTCTGTCTAAATTTGAGGAGAAAGGAGAGTCAATAGACCTGTCTTGAAATAAGGCATCAGTAATGTTCTCTTAATTCAGCTGAGCTTAATTAAATGCCTCATTTAGCTGCTCTCAGGTATATGCCTCTTTATGATGCCTTTATAGGAATTTATACAAAGTCAACATCAAAAATAACAGTCTTTTTAGCATGACAACTTCACCTCTACTCTATATAAGTATCACACTATTCACTTACATGAAAAAGAATAAATATGAAATCATGAGAGGTTCCAGTTGCTATTGATAAAAACTATAATCCTGATGAAAATTGGGCAGTTAATATGAATGCTTCTAAAGTGGATAGAAAATTACTCTTATGTGTGTATACAAGGCTGTATTCTTGCTTAGAAAAGAAACAAATCTAAATGACAATAAAATAGAACAAAATATGTGCTATGTTCGATATGTTGTTGAAGGATTATACTGAAAAAAATCTTATTCAGTATGCCAATGGGTGATATTCAACTTCTATATTCTCAGTTAAGGTTAGGTACCTTTAAGGTTACCTTTAAAGTGCATGAAAATTGAAAAGAAATTATCTCTGAATTTTTACTTTAATATGCCAGCAAATGAAGCAGAGTTAGGCTGCTTAGCTAACATTCACACTTAGTGTCATTTTTTAAAGAGTAAATACACACAAAGGATTTTCTTTTTCTTTCTTTTTTTTTCCTGAAAGGTAAGAGGCATGAGGGAACAGATGCAGTCCAGAAGGGGAATTGGCTTGTAACTGATGTGAAGTAAGAAGGATTATATGAAAGTCTAAGGAAAAGCTTTCATTTTGCAAGATAAAATGCATTATGAAGATTTCAAAGACCTTGAATACTACTGAACTAGGATCTGGTGAAAGAGGATTGTGAAGTATTAAGCATCTGAAATGTTTTGTTCATATGGGAATTCACTTGAAATTGTTGTTGATTTTTATGTAGTTCATATTAATGAACATTTGACGCTAAGGTGATTATTAATGAAGGACAAATGAAGTCTGTGCTTAATATTATGCTATAACATATCACCTTGAAAGTTTTTTTGACTGTAAAATATCAGTAGAGCTGGACTTGATCTGTGTCTGGATTGAAAGCTGTGAGATGCATGAAGTGGTACTGATGACAGGCTCTAGGACAGCTTAATGGCAGTTTATGCTACCTTCACAGAACCTAAGCTACTTCAGCCTTTTATAATCTCATATTATTTTAAGATGGAAAAGAAAACTTTGGAAGGGATGGAGACAGGCTGAGCAATTAAACCCGCATAGCACTTTCTGTAACCATTTCTCCTAGTCTTACTAGCTGGAGTGGGTTTTTTTAAAGCTATTCAATAACTTGTAGATGATTGTTTTCTCTCCTCCTATGGAAATTTGCTTCAGGGTTAAAGTCCTTTTTCAAATATTGGAGAATGTTTCAAAAATACTCTTCAGAGTTGGTGAGAAATTTTGTGCCACATGTTTGTGGAAGGTGGAGTTTCTTATCTTTTTTTTTTTTTTTCAGTAGAAAACTAGATATGAAACTTTAGATCAGATCTATGGGAGAACTTTTGTCCTCAGAACCAAAGAGAAAAAAACTGTATTTCCTTCCCCTCTCCCTCAACAGGTGTTGGTGATAACCTCATAGTCAGGATTGCATCTGGGCTTTTGCATTCACACAAAATTGGATCCCAGGGACCTCGACAGTGAGTATCTGATCATATCCATAGTAGTTTCTTAGGCTGGTATAGGGATGCAGGATGATGGAGGCATGAGAGTTGTAGCTCAGGAAGGCCTAGTATCTATGCTATGTGCTTTAGAGGAATTTTATTATTATTATTGTTAGCTGTAGTCTGGTTGTATAGAAAAGTATGTTTGCAGTTGGAGTGTCACACTGCCACGCTGTGGTTATTTGGAAGATAGTTGACAAGTGAAGCAATTTGTCTGTGGACCCATGAAACTGGAGCACAGGGCTTTGATCCTGCTTAGCGCCTCGTGGAGATAAGATATGTGCGTGGCTGAGTGTCGTGCTGATGCTCCTCAGGTATTTGTCTTCCCTCTCTAGCTGTGTTATGTTATGTTGACTCTAGCACGTGTCTGGAAAACTTTCATGCTCTTACAAGTAATGTGCTTTGAAGTAATCATAAGGGACTGTCATGAGAACCAATATAAATATTCAGTCATTTTGCTTTTTGTCATTATACTTAAAACTTTCCAAAGCAAGTTAAGTTTACTATTTTTTTTTTTTTTTCCTTCCAGTGCTCAGGTATAACCTTCATGCTCAATGTAATCTAATATCTGCTAAACAAGACTTTAAGCTCATTGTTTACAAACACGTCAGCCATCAAAGCTGAATAGATTCTCTTAGGGAACCTTTGTAACTCCTACAGGTGTCTGAGGGATTTAAAATCCTACATGTAATCAATGAAATAACCTGGGAGGATCTTCTTGTTTCAAAAGGTCTCCCTCAAGTGTTTGTGGCCCATGACAGGGAGTAATGGGTGTTGGGCAGCATTGGCACTGGGGCCAGGTCACTGTCATCCTGTCACCACTGTGACAAAGGTCTCTCGCTGCAGGGTTGTGTCATGAAGGGTGCAGACATGAGGGCTCCTGGCCACATCTGAGGCAAAATAAAACAAAGGGAGCTGACTTCTGAAACGTGCCCTATAGCGATGGAGGGCACTGTAATTAGTCTGCAGTTTCCTTGAGTCTGAGCGGGCCCCAACTGCTGATTTATCTCATCAACAGGGAAAGTACTGGAGCAATTATCAATCTATTTAAGCTTCTGTATCTCAAAACCAATTTCTTCAACTGCAGCTTGGAAGTCAGGCCAAGCAAGTACAGACCGTTAAATTGTTATTTTATTTCTCTCTGTCTTGCAGGGCTGAGGGATGCTAATCAGTTAATTTTAAAATCTTTTGAGTGCAGGCAATGTGCAGCTGTCTGAAGGCTTACAGGGTAAAGAAATAGGCAGGCTTAGACAGTGTCCATAACTGAATGAGGAGGAGAAATCATGAGGCCTAACTGTTTTCCACGTATTAACACATTACAACATGTTTTTATAGTGATATTTGGTCTCAATATCTGTCTTGCAGGGATTAGGGAGATCACTTTAAAATGCTCAAATTCAGAGGGAGTTTAAAATTATTTAAAAACAAATGAATGTACCTTTCTGTGACGAGGGATATTACTGAAGCCTGTAGAGGAAGCCTGAGGTATGTAGGCCTGATACCACTTAAGCAGTTTGAATATAATCAAGATTACAAGTATCATGTGCAGTTATATACTTCCATATATATCCATTTTATATGGTGTCATTCTTCTCCACTTCCTTCCTACCAAACACGTACGTAATTTGACACTTTAACCATGTGTACTGTTCACATTATATCATATTAATAAGGTCAGCACACCTGGGGTGGAACCAGCTCCCATGCAGCTTTCCCCTCTCTTCTCTAGTATGTGTCATCGCGGAGGCTGGGCAGGTCACTGTGCTGATATCTCTGGGCTTTCCTCTGGCGTATACGGTTGGGTTGCAAATGTGAGGTCTCAATCTCTCTTTTTTTTTTTTTTTTCTTTTTTTTTTTTTCCTCTCCCCCTCTCCTCTTCCTTTGGTATATCTTTAATTCTGAAGAGTTTGTTAAATTTGAATACAGCATGTATAATTTTCTCATTAAATCAATGGACAAGGTCATTATATGTTAAAAGGAGGAAATAACTAGTTCACACATGTTATCTTCACAAAAATATGAGCTGAGCAATTCTGCATTGACCTTTCAATATCATTCAAAAATTAAATTCCATATGCACTCTGCTACTATATTCTATCCTGATGCGACTGTGTTGATAGAATAGCTTTTGGAGGAAAAACAAGTGTAAAATAGCTGTTCCTTTGCACTGTTTGCATGTAACTTTTTTTGGCCTATATTTCTCTTATTTAAATGCTCTTTTTTTTTTTTAACTTAATGTCAAATAGATGCTTATTGGAATATTAAATTGCTGTCCTTACGTACTGTAGAAGAGATATTAATATAGATTTGTAATTAAGTCAATTGGTTTATCTCAATGACAGAAAGAGACTTCTGCAGGATGTGATTCAGAACACAAGAAAATTTGTTGCAAAGGTGCAATGAAGATATAAAAAGGGAATATGTATTTATTATACAACTTACAGTGATTTAAGCGTGGAGAAACAGAATAACAACTTTATTTTAGGCCCTCAGTTCTCCTATCTGTGAATCTGCTTAATTATAGTGTTGTAATGTTTTGAAGTGTAGCGGATGACAAATAAAAACTCCTAGAATATTTACTTTCTAGGGTCTCACCTGAAGCCATTACACAGGTATTTATCTTTTTCTACTGCCAGTGCTTTCTGCTAATTCCCTTCTTATGAAGATGCATGCATGCATGTATTGTACTACAAAAAAAGAGTATTAAGCCTTGCCTGTGTGTTCAGGACCTAGTACTTTTCATTTTTAATCTGGCTTTGGAAATTATTGCAGCATAGTTGCCTGATGATTGAAAGGTAGAGCAAGAGTTATTTGATGCAAAGTAATTTTTTAACGCTGGGTATTGTCTTTTGTAACCCATTTGGAAACCCTTAAGTCTGTCACTTTACAACATGTATATATTTGATCACAGCAAATTCCTTCCCAATAGAAAGAATTGTAACTATTTCCTGATGTGAAATTTTGATCTGAATAGACATGTGGCATTTTCTAAGCTTTCTTTTATAAGTTTTCACTATTGAAGAGGAAGGAATTCTAATAAAATACATTTTTTCTACTCATGACATTGAAGTATTAAGGCCAGGAATTCTGAATAAATGGATGCTATTTTACTGAAGCATGAGATTTGCATCGGCCTGGTCTGATGATGAAATTGAAACGGGATGAAGTGTTTCATCCTAATTCAGGTTGTCTTTCAAACTTGGATTTTCACAAGAGGAGAATGAAACTTTTCCAAGGTTGAGGACAAAATATTCAAAAGCAGTAGTCAGAACAGTCAAAAGCCAGAGGTGCCTCTGCCAAGATGCAGGAGCTCTCACGTTCAGTCACTTCTGCTCTAGACAAGATTGATGTCCTGACCCTCCTATTTATTAGTCTAGGGTATCTCCATATCTTTTGGGTTTTGACCAGAGAACTTTTCCAGTCTCTTGCTGTAACTGGTCTATTTTCAGTCTTTCATGTGTTCCAACTAAAAATAATTTTGTTGAGCTAATCAAGAATTTGACTGTTTCAAATATAGCCAGATAGGGTGACTTGCCAAAAGAATGGAGCACAATGGAATGATTTCAGTTTGAAGCTGAATTCATCCCTTTGCTTTTAAGATAAGAAATTTCTGAACTGAGAAGGCAAATACAACTTCCACTTTAAGAAAGGACACTGGGAAAGGTCAAAACAATTTAAAAGAGATTTGTCTCTTCAAATAAGGCAAGTAGTTATGTTGTTTAGAAAAAAAAAAAGAAAAAGAAAAAGAAAAGGAAATGAAATCTTCATTGTGGAGGACTTATTCATGTAAAACAGATTAAAATATGCATTCATAATATGTAAATATAGAGTCAATTAGCATGAAGGTTTTTACAGTATAAGTGATTATAACCTGCCAGTGTCCTCCGGGACGACTTTGAAACTGAAATGCTTCTTCTCTATAGTGCCAGTTAACAAAAATCGATAAACAGTAAACATAGAGCAGGCTGTTGCCAAGTGAGCAGTGTCTGAACAGGACAGTTTAATTTTCAATGGATGAGCAGAATTTTCAAGGAACAGATAGGCTCAAGACTCCACAGAATACTTTATGTTTTTCCAGACCAATTCCAATAGGCAGCAGAAAGTATAAAATCCAGGAAGAGGATTAAAATCTGTATCTGGAGTGTCTCCTGTCCGTTTTGCCTCTTACTTAGTCGCTGTCCTTGCACAGAGTCAGGACAAGGTAGATAACAAAAGCACAGAGACACTTAGGCCACTTCCAGCTTGATCTTTTCTTGCCCTTGGTAGACTCCCTCAAAGGAGGATAGTTGGAGTTTTTTGGGAGGTGAAAGCAGTCTAGGTGTGCCCATCAGCAATTGTTTTATTCTTTAATAAATTGTACCATGCAACATATGCATTTTTGTGCCCACACTTTGCTTCCATCTTTAGAACTTAGCTTTTCAGAAAGCTCTATATATGACAACTAAACCTTTACTATAGTTCTAGTTATATAATACAGCAGAGGAATATGACCATTTTTACATGAAGTATGCTGGTATACAACTTTCTGTTCATATGCAAAATGTGAATTAGAGATTATGATCCTTGAAATATTCATCACTGCATCTTTAATTGCGTTGATTCAAGGTGCAAATCACTAGCATGTTTCTGGCACTACATAGGTTGGCTCAACTGAGTATCAAACTCTCAATTTTAACCAGATTGCTGAGGGTTTTGCAGATTTGCAATGTTGAGCATTTGAAAGCAGTTTTCTGCTGAAAGTCTATTTAAAATTCAAGCACTCTGCAACTAAGGAACTCCAAAAAGAGGTAATGAACCATAAATTATTGCCGTTAGATATTTAATACTCAATCAGTATGTGCTCTCTCATGCATATCCCACTGGCATTGCATTTATTCTGACAGTGTGGTACTGGTTCAATTACTTTGCTCATTTACAATAAAAGATTAATGAAAAGAGGTATATTTTAGTTCACAGAGATTAATTGCATCCCTTAC